TTCAAAAATTAAAATGAACATATTCAAATCATTATCTCTCCAGTAGATTGGGCAAACACGCAGGAAAATTCTATGAATTTAGTGTGACACATTTCCGACGGTTTTGTGCATGTTCACATTGACCACAATATAATTAATGTTGAGAGGAGCACTTTTGATTAACTTGGGAAATGTGCAGGTGCTGTTACAGATGAGTCTCTCTTTCTGTTTTTTCTTTTTTTAAATCTTGGGACTATTTCTTTGTAAATATATGGTTTTAGTGAACGGAACGTTCAGAACGAGGTCTGTGGGTTATCCAGAGTAACCGGGACCATTTTTTCTGGAGAGAATTGTTTTTATTGAATTTTTTGAAAGGCTTTTTTAATGCCTGCAGCACTATAAATAGCATTCATCTCCAATGTATTGTGGTGGAAGCAGAAATCTGAACCCCCATGAGGCCGGAGATCAGGTTGAATTGGCTTGAGGTCTGGGAAATTTTTCACAACTCTTCCATTTCCTGGAATATTTTGATGATTTGCCCTAGATATAAATTAAAAACCTCTAGCATGGTGGCCCCACCAGACTGATGTTAATGTAGGGTCAATTTCATCTAGAGTCTCAACTCTCACTGGTGACATGTCAACATATTTTATTCCCCCCATGCCCTTTCTTGCCCAAAATTTGTGGTGCAAAAATTGTGGTTGTAATCTCTTGTTTTCTCATAATTGTTGATAATTCATTTGAGGGGACATTGTTTTTTTTAGGTTGCAAGGACTGAGGTTTATGGAAAATTATTTGGGTCTTTTTTTTTTGTTTTGACATTGCTTCAGGCATAAGATAGAGGGAAGTAATTGTTTTTACTATGATGTCATTTCATTATGAATGAACTATAAACTCTGGTTTTGTGGTAATTTGACAATAATGCATTTAAAAGCAGAACTGTATCAGTCTCCATACTGAGTTATAACATCTGCTTTATAGGCACCAAGAGGGTGGCGCGTACGTATGCAGCATCTCGGGGCTCTCGGCTTTTTGGTTTTCTATTCGTATCTTTGTTCGTGTTTTTGTTGTCACTACAGTTTTCTGAAGCCACCATCCAGTATGGAAGAGCTGAACTACTTACAATAGGGAAACAATACAAACTTTATGCACCCACAAAGCCGGACTTTATTCCACCAGAGTTACACCGGACCACTACGGCTCTCACCATCCCCCCTTTGTGGCCAAGGAGATGGGGGCGACATCGTAAACAAAAGAGGGGTAAGAGGAGCGGCCTGCGTGCTAGGCTACATGCTAACCCACACAGGCCGGCGCTCCCTAGTCTCTTTCTCACAAACGCCAGGTCACTAACTAAAAAAATGGACGAGATTCAGCTGCGTAGCGTTTCACGGAGGAAGGACAGCTGTGTGGCGATTATAACTGAAACCTGGTTGGATGACAACCCTAACCCTAACCCTCCCGGGTGCTGCGGAGGAGCTGGAGGAACACTCCTTGTTTCGAGCAAACAGGACTGCAGCATCTGCTAAACAGAGAGGTGGAGGTTTGGCGCTGTACATCCACAACTTCTGGTGCACAGCTACGACCATCACTGGAACACATTGCTCCCCCGACTTGAAATATCTGGCAGTGAAATGCAGACCTTTTAAAATGGTGAGAGAGATTTGCTCAATCCTGATTGTAGCCATCTATATACCACCACGAGCTAACACCAAATTAGCGCTGGAGGAGTTGTACTGCCTGATCAGCAGGCAGATGAATGCAAACCCAGAAGCGGCTGTGATTGTGGTTGGTGACTTCAACCATGTGGAACTTAAAGCAGTGTTTCCCAGATTCTACAGATTCATCAGTTTTCCAGGGACAATAACATCCTGGATCAGGTTTATTGCAGTATCCGGGGAGCATACAAGGCCATAGCAGCTCCACACCTGGGCATGTCAGATTACATCTCTGTGGAGCTGATCCCAGCAAACCTCTGGTCTGCAGGACAAAACCAATCACCAAAACAGTTAAGGTGTGGACGGAGGAGGCTTATTCAGCATTACAGGACTGTTTTGAGCATACTGATTGGGGGGTGTTCAAAGAGGGCTCAGACTTGGAGACTTATACATCAGAGTTTTCCAGGGACAATAACATCCTGGATCAGGTTTATTGCAGTATCCGGGGAGCATACAAGGCCATAGCAGCTCCACACCTGGGCATGTCAGATTACATCTCTGTGGAGCTGATCCCAGCAAACCTCTGGCTGACACTCTGAATAGTTTCTTTGCATGCTTCGATACACTTGGCAGCAGAGGAACTGTACAACTCCCTCAGCTGGAGGAGCAGCACCAGCCTTTCATCCTGCAGCTACACCAGGTGAGCTACACCCTGAGGAGGATCAACACCAACAAAGCTGCAGGACCAGACAGGGTGTCAAGCCGGGTTTTGAAGCTATGTGCTGACCAATTAGCAGGAGTTTTCTTGTATATTTTTAACCTGTCCCTGCATCTTGCTTCATTCACTGTGTGCCTCAAGTCCTCCATCATTGTGCCTGTGCCCAAGAAATCAGCTGTCACCTGCCTCAATGATTACCACCCTGTTGCTCTGACACCAGTAATT